ACTCCCATAGCATACTTTTTTTTTTAATTTTTTTTTTCAACGTTTATTTATTTTTGGGACAGAGAGAGACAGAGCATGAACGGGGGAGGGGCAGAGAGAGAGGGAGACACAGAATCGGAAACAGGCTCCAGGCTCTGAGCCATCAGCCCAGAGCCTGACACGGGGCTCGAACTCACGGACCGCGAGATCGTGACCTGGCTGAAGTCGGACGCTTAACCGACTGCGCCACCCAGGCGCCCCGAATACTTTTGATCAATGACTGCAAACTCTCTAAAATCTCCAATGATCAGTTCCATCCTCCTAGCTTACTCTCCAAAACCTCCAATTCCAATAATCCTTTGACTCAGATTTTCAATCCATTGGCTCTTGACCAAGATTTTTCAGTTCTCAGCCCATTATATTTTGACTCCCCTTGTGCCCACACTTTCTTCTTTATGATTCTAATCGTCTGCCATTATACTCACCCACTTGTGTATACCCCCAGGGTTCTGACTCTTGTCTCAGCTTATGATAAACTCATAGTTTTATCAGACCCTAGTTAAAACCAACGCTCCATCTGTATCCTGTCTATCTGTATTCACGCACACCAGCATCACTGGAGGAAAACATAGGTATGCTCCGGGGAGTTGATTTGTTTTAAATTAATGATTTGACTGGACTTGTGCCATGCTGTCATACCTTCTCTTTTCCCTTTTAACATCTAGCACATACACTCCTAACACTCTCAGTTGCAATTTTGCTGTCTACCTCATTATTATAAATAAGGTGTACTGAGGTGCCTGGGTGGCTCAGTCTGTTAAAAGCATCAGATTCTTGGATTTCAGCTCAGGTCATAATCTCATGGTTTATGAGTTTGAGCCCCACATTGGGCTCTGGGCTGAAAGCCTGGAGCCTGCTTGGGATTCTCTCTCTCTGTTTCTCTGTCCTTCCCCTGCTCATCATGCCCTCTCTCTCTCTCTCTCTCTCAAAATAAATAAACATAAAAAAAAAGTATACAGAAAAAAATTACCCACCAAACCACATCTACCCACAATTATCTACACTTTTGTGCAATAACGTCTACACTCTCACCTGCTACAACAAAAGATTTATGAACACATAGTTAAAATGAACTTTTCTCACAAACTATCCACCAACTCTTATTGCTTGCTGAAGCAAACTGTTCAATAATGTACATGTACAATCATACAAAGATGCCAAGAACTATCCTCAAGTGAAAAAAGAAAGCAGATTTCATATCTGAATGAGCCAACAATTGGAAGAATATACTAGGTAGAGGAAAAGTGAGTTTGCAGATGTCTTATACTTACTATTTTCACTGTTTTTGTTATTATTGTTAATTATATTCATTTGTTTATATACTTATTTAATTCATTCATTTACACATTTATTGAGAATTTAGTCTGTTAAAGGAATTACTCTAGCTCTGTGGATAAAGCAATTGAGAATTCAGACAAAAAAATGCTTGCTTTCATGAGTTTTCTAGTACAGGAACAGACAATAAACAGCAAAAATAAGATATAGGGGATGTTAAATGGCGATAAGTGGTATGGGTAAAATAATGCAGGGAAAGGAGATAGACTAGGTCAAGAAAGGAGGGTTGTAGACTTTATAAGGTGACCGTGGAAAGCCTCTCTGTCAGGAAAAAAATCAATTAAAATTGGAGAAAAATTATTTCATTTTCATCCAATTATCATTTACTGAGTATGTTTACTATGTGCCAAGGTATGGACATGAACACAAAATAATTCAGCATGTTTCCATGCTTAGTTGGAATCATCTCGACTTCTATTCACATTGGTGCTGAACCTTTAATTTCTACCATCTCTAAACAAAAATTATTATAGTTAGGACCAATGGAGTCCTACTAAGTGTCAGGTAATGCAGAATTACTTTCCCTACCTTATCTCATCAACTCCCCACAGGTGACTAGGAGGTAGGTGGCACTCTTTCTATTTTACAAATAAGAAAGCAGTCTTGGAGAAATATGATGGTGATCAGGCTAGCTCATGAAACCAGTAAGTAGCAAAACCAGGATTCGACAAGGAAATTATGACTTGGTATCTTGAGCCTTTCCTACCATGCATGCTGCTCTCTTGGTGATTATGAGCCAGGAGTACCCAGCCAGAGGGACAGCCTCAGAGTTCTGGCACTGAATAAAGATTCAGTAGGGCTACCTTATGCTTATAAAGCCTGGTAATATAGGCAGACCATGCCAGCAATGGTAATGCTCTAAGGAGGTAGTGTTTGTTTTTAAATTGTTTCCGTCATCTTTTAGCAATACCCCCCACTCTCTTTCTGGCTTTTTTTCCCTTTGATGGAACTGGCAGGGGAGAGGCGCCCTGATTTATTAGGGTTTTCTTAAATCAGGTGTTTACAACCTTCCCTAGCTCCCGGTTTATATAAGTATGCATACAAGTATGTACACCTGCATATATGTATATGCTATGTCACAACTTCTACTTAACAAAGGACATTGTTGTAGAATGTCCTTAGCAACAAAATGGAGCACTTAATCTTTCCATAAAGATACAGTTACATGAAGAAGATCATATTATAATGCCATATGACTCAGGAAGAAAAAATAGGCTTATATTAAACAATTGTTAGTGTTATCAACCATAAGGAATTTCCCAGTCATCAATTTCCATTGTATCTCCGAAGAATATCATTAAATTATCCTCAAATAATATAACCATGATGCTGCTTGTTTAATTATTATTCAAGTATTTCTTTTTCTTAAAGTGCCCATGCCCCTAGGGAGAGACAAAACATAAATTCAATTTATATCTTGTTTCAAACTCAGAACCTGCTATTAATGATCTATTGCAAAAAATTTCCTATGTGTGACATCAGCATCAGGCATGTGATGCTATAGGATTTGTATATATCTTTTTTATACAAATAAAATATCTTTTTTATATTTTGGATCCAGAGCAATCTTTTAATTTTATTTGAGGCATGGTCCCAAGCTACATTCTGGTTCCATTTTCAGACCCATTGGTGACAATAATGTAACTTCGTGTTCTAGAAACTCCACTTGTTATCAGTTCTACCATTTCAGACAAACAAAGGTTTGCTTCTTCCAGTATATATTACGAGACTTAATGGGTGGGAAGCAATTGGAGAGTGCCAGATGAAAGGTACCATAGTAGGTTAGTACAAAAAAAAATAGGTAGGGCATCACACAATGTGTCATCTCAGCTGGCTTGGCTAATAGAAGTGCCAGCTAATTGTCTCTTACGGCTGTTGAGTCCCTCTGGAGAAACAAGGGCCAAATGGGATTGGTCTTACCTAGAACATGGTGTATACCTGGAAATGTATCTCATGGAGACTTGTTTGTTTGGCAAGAAATTACATTTTAACTCCAACTCAGGTGATTTCACAAAGATTTCTGATCACAACCAAGTGAGCTAAGTAACCACTGAGGTGTTAAATACATGCATTATTTTTATGTTATGACTTTACTTCCAGATGTGCTCATGACAGGAAGGGTAAATAGGGTTTACATCCAGGGTCATTTTAATCAATTGGTGATGGCTGTCAGGAGAGCGGTGATGAAGAGGATTCTGAGGCCATAGGTAGAGTCTCCAGAAAAGAGGGTCATGGGAGATGACTTTGACTCTTACACAGTGAAAGCAGACAGGTATAGCAGAAGTACCTTATAATTTCCATGCCTGGTATAGGCCATAATTACTATGGTCAAGTCAGAAAGTGGTAATGATATTCATACACATATCTAGGAAAATCCCTACGGGTATGGCACACCCAATCCTGCCAAATCATGTTCAGTTCTCTCAATAGACATAAAATATTTTTTCAGTTGGATTTTTTCCTAGTAACTGACTAATCTGAAAATAACCAAATGAATTCTATTAAGCTATTGCTCAGTAACCAGTTGCTTGATTTAATTTAACTTGCTTTTCTTCATACCAGTGCAGATACAGCTTAAATATCTTTTGAGGGAATGTTTTTTAGGGGTTGGCTTAATTCCTAATGAAACTCTGAAGGGGCCTTTGGACTTCAGAAAATTTAAAACTATAGCGTTACCTTGTTCTTTCCCGGGCCAATTAACTGGGTAGATTCTTTGCATTCAATTTGAAGCTCCTGTACTCCAGCTAAAGTTTCATTTTCTCTCTCAGCAGTTGGAAACCTATCTCCTTGAACAACAGAAACTAAGCATGAAACTTAGGCATACTGAGCTCAATGGGCCTTGGCGCTGGCCCCCAAATACTGGTGTGCAGAATATCCCAGAAACTACAGTTTCACTCGGCTCCCTTTCATAAGCCGTGGAAGGAAGTGAAGGAAGCATGCCAGGTTGTTATTCAACTCCCGTATTTAATCAAGCATTGCCCAGGCACTTCTGAAACTCTTCAGCTTCTAAATTGAGAGTAAAAGCAAAGAGAACACAGGATGGAAACTACTTAAACGTGAAGGCTCTCAGGATTACTCAGGATTGTGTGGCCATTCTCCCCAAACTCCTAAAGTCAGCAAGAAAGCCCATTTCAGTCCCGGTGGTTATTTCTAACCGAATGCTTCACAGCTTTCTCAAGGATGCCAATACACATTCTTTCATTTTGTGTTAAGTGACCGACTGGTGCCCTGCACATGAGGCCCCTCACTACTGCTCGCACTACTGCTCACGTTTTCTCCATTCAGGTGTTTGGTACCCTACTATGAGAAAGACAGGTTTGTTTATGATCTAAGAAAACATCATAGGACTTGCACAAAGCAACAGGTGCGGGCCATGAGTCATTTTGGTGTCCTCACCTGCAAAGGGGGAAGCCAGCATATGCCAGAAATTCCTGATACACCAAGGGACATTACCAAAGTCTTTCTCCCTTTTTTTTTTTTTTCATTTGGGGCAGGAAACAGATGACCCCTGGTTTGCCACCGCTCAAGAGACCCAGCCTGCCTCAAAGTCAAAATGGACCAACCTATGAAAGCTGGAGGGTTGGGCTTTTTTTTTTTTTTTTTTTTTAAGGCCTGAATGAGGTGATATCTTCATGCTGACAGCTGAGAAGCAGGTCAGTCAGGTTCTTGGGTGCTCTATTACACAAGCAAGATTGGGCCAGCTCCACCAAATTTTGTTTCTGACACCCTCCTGCCCAGTGGGACATTGTCATACTTCACCCCTCTGCTTTCTCTAATCCTCGGCAGACGCGTTGCAGCCGGGACAGCTGTCTGTGGTATTTTAGTTCCTGTTTGTAAATACCTCCAAAACCTGAAGGTAAGGGTGTGCTGGGTTGCCTGGGATTCCGTCTCTCTTTCTTTCTCTCTCTCTCCCTTACTTTTTCCCTTTTGCTTCCCCGCCCCCCCCCTCATTTATTTACCAAAGACAATCAAAGCAGGCTCAACTTTTGCCACTCTAGCAAGTAGTTACGGAGATCCTTGTAAAAACAGGTAGTTGTTTTGTTAAGTAATCACCTTCCAAATGAGCATTTGCACCAAGTGACTTAGTTTTTCCAATTACTGCCAAATTTGCTACATGATGAACCAGCTAGAGAGTTAAATAAAAACCTCACTTAAAATGTACAGGACTACAAGGGAGAGTTTCCTTAAATCAGATCTTAGTAAAAGTTTCAACATGTCTAAAGTGGAAATGGCAAGAATGTAAACTGATTACTTAGATTTTAATTATGCATTTTGGCTTTAAGGTTCTTGCTAAAGTACTAGAATAAGACAGGTTTTGAAGAACAATCTTTGAATTACAGGCTTCTGTATATTTTTCCAAGGATTTTATTAATCAAAAAAACTGGCAAAACGTTGTGTATGTAAACTATTTCACTTAACATGCTATGTGCTTACGGCCGGCAGTCACTGGATACCTAAAACGTTGTTAAGTCAGTTGCTTCAGAACACATCTTATGGAATGAAGGTGTGGATAAAGTTCCTTAAAATTATTTCCAGTTTGTGGTTGTGTGAAAGGCTCCTTTAATTAAAGGGATGCTTGTTTACTGCTTAGCCCTTTCTATTTGATCTACTGAGGCATTTTCTACAGACAGTGAAATGTAACAGAAGGCTGAAAACCCCAAGCTTGGGAATTGGGGTCCAGAATATTTCTTTTGGAGACAGTCTTTCTTTCTAAGCTTGATACTCTTCCACCTAATTATTTATTTCAGCACTGAAGTTTATGACTAAGAATGCTCACGTGAGCTGGGATCGTGACCTAAATATTTTTCCTGGATTTATGCATACCCCAGTCTTTTAATTAGAATTATGTTCACAAACTTGAATTTTTTTTTCCTAAAGGAAAAGTCATGTTTTTCTTTTCTTTTTAAATCAAATAAAAGTAAATGATACGCCCTAAGGTCCTCAGGTACAATCCTCCGTTCTGGCTACTAAGACTTCTCATCCTTTCAAAACCCTTTTATAAAAGAGGCATTTCTAGGAGCATAGTTCATTAGGTCCTCATTTATTGTGGCTTTCATTTAGGAACGGCAAATACTGTTGAAGATTGTAAAGGCCACTCAAGAGTAACACTCAGGGTCTGTCTGGGTTATTGGCTGCATGTCAGACTGAATTTCCTAGGACAAAGACAAACAAAACCCATCTGTCTTAATCTGTAGCCTGAGATCTATAATAAGAAACAAGCAAAAGCAACCGAGAGAGAAGAAGCACAGTCCAAGTATTGTTTAGTTGTTTCACAGCAGAATCCAGGTTTTCTATTATCCCCTTCGTGTACCTGAACTAACGCTGTCCTTTAACAGTTGGATTTTGACTGAGTTTAGAGTAACTAGCATTTCTCTTCCCTTGCATTGGTGGACCTCGCAGGGTACCTCCTTATTTTTAAAGCTTGGTATAAAATGGGTATGACTCAGTTACAACAGGAAGACTGGGCAGAATAATGACTTTATGCATTTAAGGGGAAGCAAAATTATGCACAGACAGTGTGAATTTGTTTCCCTCAATGGACACGGTTGCCATCTTCTCCCACCACCTCTGCAGCCCTCCATACAAAATTCAAATGTGAAGCCACTTTCTAGTGCCAACACCAAAAAACAGGGGAGAAAACTGTGTTCATTTTCTCTGCGTTCCATAATTATTTTTTAAAAAGTGAAACTCATACTCTCTGAAAGCATATTTTAAAATTTGTTAACTACCAGAAACGATAAAAATAGTTCAATATATACAGACAGGTTTAGAATCTGTGTTTCAAGTATCACAAAGTGGAAGGAAATCCTCCTCTCTTTTTCTCTTCCCTTTATAATAATTCTAGTCTTAGAGGTTTTTTAAGTTTGTAATGGTCTTAGCTCGGTTCCTGTGTTATACAGTCTCCAAATTCCTCTCCTGAGTTCCCACCTAGGGGCAAGAAGGGACAAAGACCGGGAGGGGGAATGATGCTACCTGGTTCTCCCGATTTGCTCTTGCTCTACGATTGTATTTTCTGTCGTCCCATCTTTGCCTGCCTCCACAGGGCACCTGGTTGACAGATGAACTTGGGCACACATGAGCACACCAACCATCATCCAGCATAACTTCACATAACAAGGACACAGCACAGTTTTAAATATTTAAACTCTACAGATGGAGAGAGGCTGAGAGAAAAGTGCAAAGAAAAAGAGCACAGATTTCTTTTACTGCCCTTCAGAGCGTCTGTATCACCTCCTTTAGACTTTGCTGCTTACCGTGTGTCTGGTTTAAGTCAGAATGGGGTCGAACTTAACCAACATTTCCTAGTCTTTTCTCCAGCAAAAACCCAGGCCTGAGATTCTGAAGAGCTGATGGTTTCTATTCCTGCCTACTTCTATCCCTTTAAGATGAAGGGACCTGAGTGAGAGGTGTAAACTGTTTCTCTTGGAAAACAAGGAGCAGAAGTGAAGTGTCCTCTGCTTCAGGCTGGGACAACAGGAATAAACTGATTCTGGCAAAAGCCTTACCCATAACTGGAATAAACTGTAAATAGTATTCACGGCATACATCGTCTCTCTCTTCTCTTTCTTTTCCCTCGAGATAAATTATAGGCAGAAACAGAAGCCTTGGCTCATTTGGGGTATTGATACCTTAGGTTTTCAAGTTACAGTCAAAAGCTGGGTAAAGGGTAGAGAGATCCCCTTGGTGGTTCAATGTTACAAAGTGAGTCAGGAACAACAAAACTCACTTTGCTGACTCTTGATACGTGGATTCTCATTACGGGAAGGGAGTGAAAGCTCATTCCTCATGTAACATGAGAAAATTAGAACAGCTAAGGGCTGTTTTTTCCCCTCTGATCACCACTTCATTAGGATGAAAAAATAACCAGAAAGCCTAGGTGTAGGGAAAGCAAGTCAAAATGTATAGTAATGACACAATGGGTGGCTAAGTATAGTTCGTAAAGAAATCAGACCACCGGAATTAGATAATGAGAAAGGTTATAATGTTTGCTATGAACCTGGCAGGGTTCACAAAAGGATGTTTCTGAAAAGATACATGTAAGTATTTCTAAAACTAAACTGAATTGTATTTTAAATGTGCCAGGTGGAGCATCCATTTAATAATGTGTTGGTGAAAACTAAAGGTCCTGGGGATAAGAACTTGTGTTTTGTTAATTTGTAAACTATATGCTAAAGGTGTTCACCCAGAACCATAGAGACGATTGCTGGCATTTTCTTAAATTGGGATAAAAGTGTATTTAGCGTGTTTGAGAGGTACTTAAGGTAGAAGGCCCTCATTTTCTAGTGTTTACAGTCATGGTATTATAAACTACTTTGGGTAAAATAATACAATTTGGAGAAACGGTGCTAAAAATATATTGGTGGGAAAAACTTTCTAAAAAGCAGCTGAATTCTAGATCCTTTTGTAACCAGTTTCTATATTCCTTTGTAACTTCTTTTACGCAGTTGAGTGATTACTAGCTTTAATAGTGAGGTTTGAGGCCTAACCCTATCTCTCAGTCATTAGCTCTGTGGTCTTGGTCACAATTACTTACATTTTTAATGCCCCATTTAATTATGTGTAAAACAGGATTGACAATCCTTTCCTCATTGTATGTTTGATTGGTTTGGGTAAGAATTAAATGAGAAAACATGTGAAGCACCTGACTTAATAAATGCATAATAGTAATATGTTTTCCAATTATGTTAACATTTTTAGGAACTATACCCATTTTCTTGGCTATCACAGAAATGTGAAAAATATAAACAAACAGTATCACAAATATAAATACCTAGGTAATTCCTACCAGGTTAAGAGACAGTATCACAAGCATACAGAAGTCCCTTCCATGGCTACCTAATCAGTACTGTCTCTTTCCTTCCCACAAGTAACCACATTCCTGACTTTTAACATTCTTTTAAAAACTTTTGACAGTTTTTACTTGTTTTTGAATTTTACATACACGAAATCACACACTACAACTGGCATTGTGAGCTCTGCATTACATTTGTCATAATCACCTCTGTTGTACATGGCTCTAGTTTGTTAATTTTCATGTATGAATATTTCACAATTTACTATCTGATCTGTTACTGATGGATGTTTAGGCTGGAGACATTTATAAATAATGCTCCTATGAATATTCTTGTCTGCCTGTCTGCCTAGGTTTTTAAGTAGATTTTTTTAAGTGATAAGCATAAGGTATGGCATATATTTGTAAAGCCTTAGAAATCCACAGGTATGGACTAATTACTAAAAGCTTTTGAAAAAATATATATATCAGGATATAGTATAAATATACTTAAATTGTACCACTATGTAAGGTACTATTAATCAGGGAGAGGGCACTTAAAAGAAAATCAGAGGGAGTACATTGAGGCTCCTCAAACCCTAATAAAAAATTATTAAGGTTGAAAATAATTACAAAAATTTCTGGAAGCGCTCTTAAGAAATGGCAGGTGGGGAGCCTGGGTGGCTCAGTTGGTTAAGCATCTGACTCTTGATTTCGGCTAAGGTCATGATCTCATGGTTTATGGGATCGAGCCCCGTGTCCAGCTAGGTGCTGACAATGTGGAGCCTTTTTGGGATTCTCTCTCTTCCTTTCTCTCTGCCCCTCCCCCATCGCACGCGTGCACGCTCATGCGCGTGCACGCGCGCGCGCGCGCACACACACACACTCTTTCTCAAATAAATAAATAAGCCTTAAAAAAACAAAAAAAGGCAGGTAGGTAATACTGGACCTTAAAGATAGCAGTTGCACCTCCCTACCCTGGATGCTGTAGTGAAAAATAAGCTCTAAGATACAATTCAAAGAGCAGGATATCAGTTTTCAGACTCTATCCTTTGAGGAGGAATAGCCTAATGTTTTCAAAAGAATATTTTAATATTAACGATCTTTCAAATTTTAGCATCTAATTAGGTTGGAGTCAGTAGTCTTGGATTTCAGTGCTACTCTTCCATTCACTAGTTTTCATTACTAGCCACTCTGGACCTCAGTTTCTTCCTGTGCAAAATGAAGATATTACAAGCATAATTTTTTTGGTCTCCAGGGATCATTGTGAAGATCAAGTAAGATGAAACTGTAAACCCTTTGAAATGTAAGACACAGAAATTATATTCTAATAATAAAAAAATAGAAGTTAATGTCTATTAGCTACTTACTTTAGGTCAGGTATTGTTTAAGGTACTTGTACTTAAATCTTCACTCTTCAGAACAGCATTGAGAGGTCAATATGATTATGATGATGATGCTTATTATGATGATTATTTTTCACAGGTTATCCATAATGCAAGTCAGAATTTTAATATAAATCTAATTTTAAAACCTTGTCCCTATATCCTGCTATCTGTGAACTATGGCATTTCCACACTTCAGAGGCAGAAGGATAAGAGATGAGAGAACTGTACAAGGGTTTCAACCCCCAACTCTGCTACTATCTGGCACCGTCATTTTTCCACACATGCTCCCAGCCAGATTCTTCATTTACACAGTAAGGGGATACAAGGAAAAAATATCCTAAAATCTAAAAGTCTTTCTGAATTTCCCTAATTTGGGATTCATAGGAAGAAGGGCATCATGAAGTGAAAAGTATTGTCAAAAAAGGGATGTTAATTTCAAATTCAAATAATTCAGATTAGGTGCTAGTGAAATATTTTCAAGTGGATTTCCTGGCTGATTCACTTGAAAGTGGTATGTATATAGTACAATCAGCAACATCATTTTCATCATAAATATTCCAAGTTACATCTTTATAAAGTACATATTTTCTTAAATAGGTTAAACAAATCAGCCAGCTCTACATGTCCCATATTTACAATGCTTTACTTAGCAATCTATATATAATATTTCATATACATACGAACTCTATGTATATGTTCATAGTTCATACATATATTTCAACTTGTCTCAAGCTAAATGATCTTTCAAATAGTGGAATAGTGGTGTATGGCTTGACAAAGTTTTTGCATGGCACTTCCTTAGAAGAAAGAAGAAAGAAATATTATACAGAATATAGAACTCACTCTAATTTTAGTACATAATCCAAACAAAATAAACTTTAGGAATAAAGAGTATGGTATTATCAATTAAGTGTTATGTATCTAGATCCTTATCACTTAAAAAGATTTTTGGGGGGCACCTGGGTGGTTCAGCTGGAGAAGCATCTGACTTTGGCTCGGGTCACGATCTCACCATTCTTGAGTTCAAGGCCCTTCGACAGGCTCTGTTCTGAATGCTGGGGCAGAGCCTGGAGCCTGCTTTGTATTCTGTGTCTGGCTCTTTCTCTGCCCCTCCCCAACTCGCACTCTGTCTCTCTCAAAAATAAATAAAAACATTTTAAAAAATTTAAAAAAGTTTATTTATTTTTGAGACAGAGAGAGAGAGAGAGAGAGAGAGAAAGAGAGAGAGGGAGAAAGAGAATCTGATGCAGGCTCCGTATCAGCACAGAGCCCCAGGGCTCGAATTCACAAACTGTGAGGTCATATCTCAGCGGAAATCCAGAGTATGATGCTTAACCTACTGAGCCACCCAGGTGTCTCAATCCTCATCACTTTAAAAATGTAGATCCATTTTTAAAAATTTGCTATTTTGTTGAATAATTCAGATGCTTGTTATTTTTTTCTTTCAGATTCCCCTTAATTACACCAGTACCAAAAAAAGGCTACAATGTTGACCTCAGCCAAAATTCTGTTGATTTCAAAAATGTTTAGTTTACTACTAATTGGAAGCCTTGGGGAAGAAGGTCTAGAAATAAACACAACGCAAAGCATTGCAGCAGGCTTAAAAGCGATGCAAAATGCATCTGTTCCTTTGGAAAGTGACGCAAATTTAAGCTCAGATAAAGAAAATAGAGAAACCTCCAATCCCAAAACAAGTAATTCCTCTCTTTGGGATCCATCAAATAAAAACCATGGAACAACAGAGGTCTTTGGCAATTCATCGACAAACAACTTTTCTGGGAATCCAAGATCCACGCCTACGCTTCCCACAAATCCTCCCTCGACCCAAGGCTTTGTTTCTAAATTGCCTCAGAACTCATCTATAGCAGACGAAAATCCTCAGCCTGTCTCAGCACCTCCCGATGCTACATCTGCTCCATCTTCAGAAAAGTTCACTTGGTCTTCAGCCAGTGATACCACGAAAACTCCTGACAACAGTTCAATTTCAATTAGCATCCTTCCTGCAGCACCAAACACCACGTCTGCGTCCCCCATGATAACGGAACCAGATGAATGGCTCACCACAACCAGTGACAGCTTCGTAGGGTTTACTCCTTATCGAGAAATGACCACTCTACAGCCCACCTTAAAGTTTACCAATAATTCAAAACTGTTCTCAAACACATCAGACCCCCAAAAAGGTAAATATAAATGGATTTAACTTTCTTTTTGTGTGAAATTGAATCTCGAACTAAGTCATATAGATTATATATCAGGAATGTGCCATATTAAAAAAACAAACAAAAAAACCCAGGAAGTCAGCAATAGCACACATGGTTCTCACTTTGAGGTGGTGACCATGATATTCGTTGGAAATAGTGAAGGGATTTTAGGGCTTAAGTCAGCATGCACTAGTCACTGTTGTATGGAAATGTAAGGAGACAGTGGGACAAATTTAAAAGGAGGTTAGGCTGAAAAGAAATAGAGACTGAGGTAGTGGTACAGTTTTGAGATGCTAGGTAACAGTTTTCACTGTATCTTAGAAAGCTACCTGAAATTTCCCATGCTTTCAGGAATAACATACAACTGAACTTTAAAAACATACGTATGTGAAAATTGAAATAAATGAATTTATAAATTATCTGATACCACAGAACAATCACAGGAAAAAAGAACACTGATATATATTTTACATGTAAATAAACTCAACCAAAGAAGATCCTCCTGAATTTTTAAGTTGGTACCTAATGAACACCATCAAAATTGAATACAGCTGTGAGTGTCAAAAGAAAATTGCTTCATGGGAACATTTTAATAATTCATTTAGGGATTATGCCAAGCTTTAAAATGTAAAGCTTTAAAACGTTATCTAATATTTAATAAAAGTACATAATCTTTTATTATTTTAGGTCTAACCAAGTGTTTATTTTCCTGAAATTTTTAAACAAACAATATTTTTTCCCCCATGAATTCAATGATTTCCAATACAACTTGTTTCCAGAATATATTAATGATGTAAACACAAAATCACATATACACATTCCTACTTGAAAGTTGTTAGCTTACAGGAAAAGTTTTAAATTCTAAAATCTAGGCTTTAAAATAGCACTGCAACTAATACATTGTGTACATATATATTCATTTTAGCTATAATTTTAACACATACTCTTATTCATATCCCCTCTGATATTACATCAGAAAGATTTTTAATAAATATTCCCTCTTTTGTCTGTCTACACTCAATATATATACTGAGAATACTGAGTATTTATGCCTACCTTTACTCTTTAATCAGAAGAAAATTACTTAACTTTGCTTTATTTTATTTTATTAATAATTTTGCTCTAAAGCTTCCAATGTATAGGTAATTTTTTTTATAAGTGGGCTTTAATACAGAATTACAGACTTTATAAGACCCCTTAATTAATAAAACTAATTAATTTTATCCACTTAATAAATTTTTTTTAAACTGAAAATACAATATACTAAATATGAGTTCAGGGAGCATTACATAGTTTATTGATAACTTAGTTTAAGATAGGGTACTTGGTGAAAGGGATGATTGAGTAAAATTTTGAACTCCCAGACCTACACATCTGTTCTCAATATGCAAGACATTGAAAACATCTTGCTTATGATCTGTTTGTTGTATCTTGAAATATTCTGTATCAGGATACACTGCTTTTTTCCTTATAATGCCTTTTCTGTTAGGGTTTTGTGGATTCATTTTCTATTACCCACTTATTCCCATTAGCTTTTTATTTTTCAATTATTATAGAGACAAGCTCAAAGTTCATTTCATCATTAAAGTTCATTAGAGATTCACAATTGATTAAAAACTCAACATGGCAGTCCATAGAGAAATCAGATCTTAATGGAGCATACACATGGTATTTCAGTACTATTGTTGTTTATAAAGGAAAGAAAGACAGTTATAAAACTAAGAAGTATTTCAAGGTAATTCAAAATTTGAAGTGTGGTTTTATTGGGAGGTATATTTGCCAATATATCCCAAATACTCAGTACTCCATAAAATATATACACACACACATCACCATTATCTAATTAAATATATATATATATGTATATATATATATATATATATATATATAGTTTAAAAGTCTTTGTTATAAAGTCCACATGTATATATTTCTCTTCTTTGAAAATTTATTTTCTATTTCTTTATCTGTTAATTATTTTTTATTTGTTCTCTAGAGAATAAAAATACAGGAGTAGTATTTGGGGCCATTTTAGGTGCTATTCTGGGTGCTTCATTACTTACTCTTGTTGGCTACTTGCTGTGCGGAAAAAGGAAAACAGATTCATTTTCCCATCGGCGACTTTATGATGACAGAAACGAACCAGGTAAAACAACTTTTAGAACTTCACTACATACAGTGGTTTTAATTAAAAGGGGATGCTAATGTTCACTACCTTACCTAGAAGGGATTCAGAGATTCATATGACAAAAACAGACCAAAGATTTATTATGATCTCTCTCTGTTTCTCAAAGACCATGACCAAAATAATTATGGACCTGTGGGTGGAATTTGGAAACCATTTGGAACTGTGGTTCATTCCATCACAATTACTTTTAAATAAACCAAATCCCAGAACCTGAAACATGTCTATAAAATTGGAAGATAATGGCATGCTATTAAGGAAAAAATGGCCAGTGTTGTTAGCACTAACTGCAAAGCCATTCTTTGTCATGTTGGATCTCTTAGCAGCAGGAATTTGAACAATGACTTATTGTTTTTATTTATTTTTTAGAGAGGTTGGTGGGCGGGGAGGACTGAGGAGGAGAGAGACAGAGAAAGAAAGAGAGAGAGAATCTCAAGCAGGCTCCACACTCAGCAAAGAGCCTGATACAAGGCTTGATCCCATGACCTAAGTGGAAATCCAGGAGTCAGATACTCAATAGACTGAGCCACCCAGGTGCCCCTGAACAATGACTTATTCTAATTTGGAGTTCTTCTAAAGTTTACACAGGTACAGTTGCCCTCAATCAATTATTTTAATAAGTCTCTAAAACAGAATCTATAAAGAGTTGTATATTTGGGTACATAAAGTCACAGTAATTCAGGAATTTTTCACTCATGTGATAGCAAAGACCAACCATAGCATCTATGAAAAAGAAATTTATCTGTTAAGAATAAAGCACTGAATTTGTTCTTAATGCAATAATACTAATTAGAATAGAAATGAAATAACTTCAAATGATTGATTCATTTTTTTAATACTACAGAAAAAAATATGTTTTCTGGTTTACATAAGGGATGCTTGCCATGATAAAAACAAAAACAAAAACCAAAACAAAAAAACTAGTTAAATGCCCCTGGTACATCCTGTTGAGAAAGCCTTTTGATTTTAATAAGTACAGATCATGACTGACATATTGTTCATCTTCAGAACCAAATCTGTTAATTGAAAATTTAACTTAATTCTATTTTGGGGGTTTCTAGCAATCCATATAAAATAAAAAGTGGCACTTTTCCAAATTAAAGGATAGGATTTCAAAAACAGGGGTATCCAACCTTTTTTTTTCCTTAACACCAGAATCTTTTCTTTATCTGTTATCAGAAGCAAAAGCTCAGTCTATCAAACTGATACAATTTAAGATGTGATTGAGGCAGAGGGGAATAACTCAATCATATCACCAGTTTTACTCTTTCAAGACAGCTCCCCCAGGTTACCAGGAACCCAGTTTGTAAACAGATGGCTTAAAGAATAGCTAGAATATGAGACTACCTAAATGAATAATTAGATCACTAATCTAATTAGAAATTAGTCACTGATTTAATATTTAAAGGTACCTAGTACATGCCAAGTTCTCTTTGAAAATAAACTCAAGATCATTAAGATAGTAATAACTGGCTATTCGTTAAAAAAGTAAAAAATAATCTCTTATAACATTAATCAGAAAACGTCAAGTGCATGATAACTAGGATCTATCATAAAGAAACATAAGCTTTTACAGATAGTTTTCTTCTGTCTCCATCTTCCCTGGCTCAACCATAAAAATGTTGAGATACTTAGTAAAATCATGACTCTGATTTAAAATTAATGCTCTTCACTTTTTAAAAATTATTTTTTGCACCAGAAACAAAAATTCTGAACATGTTGACAATGCTTTAAATTCACAAGATTCAAAAATCAATGAGACATATGTCTATACTTCTTCATGAAAAGTATTGCTCTCCTTTTGTTGTGATTTCTCCTTTATTTCCTTTATTTTTGGTCCTTTGGCAACAAAATTATTTTACAAGTTAAACTGTTCTCTTAGTCTTGGAAAGAAATGTGTATTGAAAAATATGCACTTGTTTAAATTTCAAACCTAGTGTCTGAAAAGCCCATATAACAGATGTACTTAACCTACTCATCTAGAACAATTTCTATAGTCTGGCAGATGCCTCAGCATGCATCCTCCAGACTGTTACCATAAAATAATTATTTTTTGGTTACTTTTTTAGTTCTGCGATTAGACAATGCACCGGAACCTTATGATGCGAGTTTTGGGAACTCTAGTTATTATAACTCAACTATGAATGATTCATCTATGCCAGCAGGCCGAGAAAATGTACGTGACGGCATTCCTATGGATGACATACCTCAACTTCGTACCTCGGTATAAAACCAAGAGGAAAGGCTTCTGATGGCATATGATCGCCTACATCCTAGTCTTTTCACAAACCCATCCTCCAAAAGCTGAAGCAAGATCACTGTCATGTGGCCTGTGCCAAGGAGAACCATAAAAGCAAGAGACTAGTAGCAGAAACAGACGATAATCTGAAAGGTTTCCTTTCTTACTATTTTTGGCTGTGCTGAATCATCTACTGAGTAACCTTAATTTGTATTTTGGTCTATTTTATTGTTAGTAGGAAACGTTTGTGGGAATCAGGTGAAACTAAAGAGTTTCACCATGACTGCCCTGCCTGATAATTTAATTAACCCTATACTCCTAATGCCATACATCAAGATTGTCACTCTCTTCAAGGAACAATGGAAGAGTAATTTATTTTTAATTTTGACTTAAAACAAGAAAGAGAGTATACAGAGTTTCTGTGCGTGGGAAATTAAAGTAAGAGGAGTGAGAGATTGTTCTCTAGTACATTTAGTTTTCCTATATCAGCACATCCATGGTAAGCCCCTTGAGTTGCCAAGTTGACAATGACATTGCCTTCAACAGGGCCATGGTTGGAAAACTGACCCTAACCAGGAAAAGAATCACTTCTCTTCAAAGAGTGGGAAATTCTAAACTGTTTTATTTTAGGCCTCAATTAATTGGGTGCTTTAAAGACTCAATGAGAATCATGGGGGGAAAAGTCAGCCAAAGCATATATTTGTACATAATTTTTACAGTTTTAAGATGTTAAATAAGAGCAAGATTTATTATGTATTAGGTATCATTGCTTGATCATATATGGAATAGATTCTGTATCTCTAAGTGTATAAAGTATAAGGTTAAAAAATTGATGAATGGAAATATTACACAAACAAAAATTTTTGAGCATCACTTTTACAAGCAGAAATACAATAAGTGTCATTTGGATTCATATGACATCTTTCAGTCATATGTTTGTTCTTAATTACCACCTGCTTTCAGCAGGAAAAATACACTTCTTAGTATAGGAAGGTTGAGGTTTTAGGGACTAGAGGATTAGATCAATAGTTAAATTCCCAAAGAAGCACTGAATGTGTGAAGAGGGCAAACAAAGCAAGAGGTCTCACTGTTAAATGGACATGTGTGTGCCTGCACATGTGTGTGTGAAGAAACACAGCAGTAGCCTCAGAAAATGAGGACCAGGAATTAAGTAACAGAAGAACTTACTTACCCCATATTGCCATAAAAATAGCAAAGAAGACCGTTCCTCCATTATCAAACAAATATGTCACCTTAATGGAAAACAAAGCAAAAATATTAGTCACATATTGATTGATTGATCAATTGATTGATTGATTGATTGATAATAATCTAGTGATTGCCATCTACATTTAGATTCTATGATTTTTTTTCCAAAAGGAATCACATTATTTTATGATTTGTAAATATGAGATATGAGATCCTTTCATGGGTCCTGAAACTGTTTCATATGATTTTCTCTTTGGGGAGATGTAAGGGATCAGCATTCCCCTCCCCCCTTTTCTTATTTCTTTCCTCTTCTTCCCTTTGGACTTCACCTTCAATTTCTGCTTAGAAGTGGCTCTAGTACCCTGAGGAAGTATTTGTGGGGCATAGATGGTCAAGGTAAAGTTAGCTTTTCAGTTGAGGCATACCTAGCTGCACTTCCTGTCAGCAAAACGTCCAGGACTGAGGAAGTTGCAAAATGAAGAATTCCACCTATGAGCCAGAACTTTCAGTGGAAAGTATCACAGTGCTATCCCTACTTTCTGACATCTTTCAGAATGTGCCATGGGTCCAATAGTGGCTATGAGTTGTTTTTTTTTAAGAAGTTTCACATATCACTTAAGATTTAGGATATAGTCCGAGTGTTTTTGAATCAGACATTATCTGAATTTTTATAAAGAACAAAAAATTGTATTGCTGAATACAATATTCATGGTTGCAAAGATTGATTTTAATAAATTGTAAATTCAACTTACCTTTGCTTCTTTTCATTTGCATAATGCCCTCATATACTTATAGTGAGGGATATTAAAACAGTATAGCCAAGGCAATATATATTTGACAGTCATATAAATACTATAGAAACTATAGGGAGAAGAGGGATACTATCCTCACAGGAGAGAAAGGCCAAATAAGGGCAAAAGAACATTATTATAAGGGAAGTGGGAATAGAATGGTGTTTGTTTTGCTCAGTCTACAGTCTAGAGACTGGTCAGTGGGAGCATTAAAACAGTATTAATATGTATTTTAATTGTAACATCTGGAACACTCTGCAAAACAATATGTAAAACAGATAAAGGTAGGGTGTGTTTTCCTGTGATAGAATGCTACTGAAAATATCATTATACAACACATGTGCTCCTTTCGAAGGTTTGTGGATAGGTGCAAGATGTCCTGGATGGCCCTGAACTTCTATGATGAGGTTTGGGAGTTCTAAAAATGTTATGTGAGTTGGTTTTCACAAGAGTCATCACTATATATTATGTACAGGAGAGAAAGGGGCCATAAAGAAATTCTCCTACAGTGCTCATAAAATTACACCCAGTGAGGGAATCCAGCGTTTCTGTTTCCAAAGGCATCCCATGGAGACACCTGCTGTTGCCAAGCAGCTGAACAGCTGTCTGCTTTCCTTTATAACAGACTTAGTGCAGGAAACAGCCTCTTAGAGTGTTAGAACAGAGACTTTACACGTGGGGACTTAAAGGTCACTAAGGAATAATGGCTCTCTCCTGCTCCAGAAAGAGCAGTCCTTTTAGAAAAGTGGCAAATGAAAAGCCATGCTTAATAATTGTGTGGTATAAATATGATTTGTTATAGTTTATGCAATGTTTTCCCTAAAAATGTTTTTCATTTTATTTCTTCTAAGTTTGTTTACAAATCTTTCAGATACCTTTTTTTTTACTCCATAAATTAAACATGAATGATTTAGAAATACATCCATTAGGCACAGCAAGGTATACATGTAATCCTCATGTAATGTCAGATTCCATGCATGTAATGGGAGATTAAGCTAAAATGGGAGTTAATGGAAAACTTGAGAACTTATCCTAAGGAGGAGTATAAAAGTATAAAATCCTTGTGTGAGAGTCACTAAGATATTACAGGTGGGATGCATTATGATGTGGGGGGCCACAGACACAGTAAGAGCAATTTGATGCCTATGGTTATAGCTTGAGGTGCTAAGGGTTGCATTGAGGGTGTTGATATAAGAGCTGTTGAATGAAAACAGGGAACAGGGAGAAGAAAGAGTCAAGCATAGCATGGATGGCTCAAGCTCAGCAGATGATTGGCAGGAGAATAAAGGGGGAAAGAGGCATTCTGCTCAATAGGAAAGGGTCGCTTGCCCTATAAAAGAAAATTCCAGATGAAATCTCAAAAAAAATTCCCAAAACAGAATAGACTTTTCCAAATCAAAAGGAAGTTTGTCTTATCTACAAGTGTATGTTTGCAATGACTTATTTTATGAGAAAAACAGCTCCCCTTTATGCACAGGGGGACCTATGGACAAGCATTTTATTCAACATCGTTGATGTGAATAGGAATAATATATAAAGACAGAAGCAAACTGAACCTCAAACAAAACTGTGTTGAAGCACAAATTCTCCATTATCTTTGACATCTGATTTCTCTTGGAGAGTTGAGTGTGGCTAGAAACCAATAAATGTGGGTATTGTTCAGAGGTAAATTTCTTACTAGGTTGGAAGCTTACAGACTATTCCTCTTCTACCGTAGTTGCTGGGTCTGTCTCTAAAATTGTTTGACGGGTTCAGAGGAGCATAATAAGCATGTGGAAACTGCCACTGATACTCCATTAAAGCCCCTGTGGGCCAAGGAGAACAGGCACTTCTTGGGCAGATTCAACCTTGCAGACCAGGCTATTACGTGCAAAGAGGAGAAAGGAGTTGGAATTTAAGCTGGAGTTCATGCCTCTCTCACTTCCTCAGTCCTTCATTCTCAGACAGGGCAAAATCTGTGTAACTGCCTATGTCCACTCCACCTGATTACAAGCTGCATCAAACATGGAAACATCAGTAGTCCACACCCAACCTCCTCTCCATTCCTGATCCATTATTATTTAGGGCAATATCTTTGTTAAATGTGGTCCTAGAAATCAACTAAGGAGCTTGTTAACATGCAGAATTCTAAGCCTTATCTTGACCAATCGATTCTGAATTTTAGGACTTGGAGCCCAAGAATCTACTTTTTAACAAATGTCTTATGTGATCCCATACCCACTTTTCTATGAAGTTTCTTAAAGAAAAAATACTCTGTCCTCTTTCTATTGTAGCTTCAATGTAAGTATATGGTCTGAGCTCATATTTGGTATTGAGTAAAAGTTTATTAAGTTAAAAAAACCCAGAAACTAATAACTATTATGAACAAAGCTCACCTCAAGGGTTGAGGCACTTTTAAAATTATATGAGAAAACAATGCAGAACTCTTCTATCCAATGATAGCACCTTAACCGAGAAATCCTACCATAATGCTAACTGACATTGTGGTGTTAGGTGCTTTTAAATAAATGTGCAAACATCACTGAATTACTTAATTGCAAAAATTTCTTAATTACCATATTTTTAAGGATTAAAATTGAAAATAATCATCAAAGAAAATGTTAATGTACTTAAATAAAATTTTTATCATATGATGGGACCATTTTTGTTCCATGAAATACGTCCTTTAAATTATTAAAATAATTACATGTACACATGCATACTTTTCAATAAAATATGACAGATTTAATTTTCTGTTACTTGTCACAAGTGGTGAATGACTCCACAACAAATTAGCAAGTTTCTAGAAGACGTGGCCAGATGATCCTAGATTGTCTGGCCTGTTTTTTGGTAATCATCTGTTCCTTTATTTCTGACACTTCCCTTCAAATAACTTCTAGATGTGTAAGTTTATAAACCGTTTTTAAAAAAGAACATTATTTCCATCAATGAAAGAATAGTAATTCTTATTTTTAATGTATGAAACAAGTACTTACATTTTATCTTAGCCAGAGAAACATATATAATACATATTCAATATTTCTTCCTGGTGGCGTTTATTTCTTGCATTGTTCCAGAACACAATATTCTCCTCTGCAAGGTAACTTTTCCACCTTCCTTTAAATAGTTATTAACTGAATTCTTTCTTAGTCATACCTGTCCCTATACATACTCTTTTCTACTAATATTGCATAATGACAAAAAGCCTCCTATATTTAGTGTTTCCTTTGACAGTTTCTTTGCTTTATCACTCTGCCATTAGGGGTGTTTCTTATTTTTAGTGTTCAGATACTGCTAGTGTGTCTTATTAACTCTGTACCAGTAAAAGTAGAAGTAAAATATATATGGATTTGTTGGTATCCCTAAGGCTGTCATATATCCTTGAAATGCATGGGTTAGGAGGACATGTATCTCTACATCTCATAACTTTAATATGTGGCTTTTGCAAAACGTATTGAGAAAATGCTTCCCAAAACAAGACATCTTTGTGGAACACTTAAACAAATTCAAAACTAAGTATAATTTTATAAACTAAACTATAAACAAAACAGATTTTCCTGTGCCTTGTATTCACAATGAACTATCCAGAAGCTAATTTTACTAGGTTTGGGCTTGTAGTAGGGTATTGAGTGACTTCTGATTTTATACTCTGCCTCATCAAACTTCATTGTATAGAGACCTCTACTTTGAACAAGATGGAGTAACTGAGATTGATTTTATCCCCATTCTGGAAACAACAAAAAAATGCACAAAATACATAAGCAACAGATTTCAAGACAGTGGATACTAGGCAGGAAGAGCCATAAATGATCCTTGGGAGGAAGGAAACACGTGAGGTGAGCATTACAACTGCCTCAGATTACTGCACGGAAAGAGTTCGTAGGACGTAAACATGGGCACCCCAGACAGTGCCCAGTGAGCGTGTCTGTGAGGAAACCTCTTGAGGAAAGAACCACCTGAAAGGATTATTAGTGAGCCCATTCCCACCAGCCAGACTGGAAACCCTCTATTTGCAGTGCAGTTGCTACAGTACACGGCCAGATCTTGCTTTCATTGCAAGGAAAAAATCATGCTAGTTACAGTACTGCTATGAACCTACCTTACAAATCTTAAAAGCAAGACCTGGGGCACCTGGGTGGCTCAGTTAGTTGAGCATCTGACTCTTGATTTTGGCTCAGGCCATGATTTCAGGGTTCATGGGATGGAGCCCTGCATTGGGCTCTACGCTGACAGACCAGAGCCTGTTTGGGATTCTGTGTCTCCCTCTCTCTCTGTCCCTCCCCTGCTCAGGCTCGCTCGCTCTCTCTCTCTCTCTCTCTCTCTCTCTCAAAATAAATAAAACTTAAAAAAAAGCAAGGCCCAAAAGGACCAAATTATTTCCAAGTAACTAAATTATAATACCTCTACACATCTATTAGAATAGTTAGAATAAAAAAGACTAGCCATTCTGGGGATTAGTGACTGTATGGAAAACTGGAACCCTCATATACTGTGGATAGGAATGTAAAATGGTATAAATGCTTTGGAAAACATTTTGGCAGTTTCTTAGAAGGTTAAACGCCCACCTATCATATAATCTAATCATTTTAGTCCTAGGTTTTTACCCAAGAGAAATAACAGTGCCTATATGGAGATTTGTAGATGAATGTTCAGAGCAGCTTTAGGTAAAACGGTAATTCAAAACAACCCACGGGTCCATTAATAGATAAACAGATAGACAAATTCTGGCATAGCTGGGTAATGCAATACTCCTCAGCAATAAAAAGAAAAGATCTACTGATAAATGTTACAACATGGTTGAATCTCAGAATAACTATGCTGTGTGAAAGAAGCCAGAAAAAAACCCACAAACTGTACGATTCCATTTACATAAGAGTCTCTAGAAAATACAAACTTTTCTATAAAGACAGAAAGCAGTTGGTTGCCTGGACACAGGGGTGGAACTGGGGAGGAGAGGGAGGCAGGGATTACAAGAGGCCATGAGGAAACTTTTGGAAGTGATTATATGTCCATTATCTTTCTTGGGGTGATGGTTTCACAGGTACATATATAACATCAAAATGTGTCAATTTATACACTTTAGATGTGTACATATTATTATATGTTAATTATACTTCAATAAAACTTTTAAATATAAACAATAATCATTGTAAAATTCAGTTTCTCAAACTTGTATGCACATGGGAATCATCTGGGAAGTTTTAAAATAGATGGATGTCTATGTTCCAAACCCAATGATACTGATTTAATTAATTACTCTGGGGTGTGGCTTGGGCTTCAGAAGTTTTAAGAGCCTTCAGGTTATCCTAATAGGCAGCGACTTGAGAATTTTTAGTATGTTGTTTCCTTTCTTTTGTAAAATTAAAGTATTGGGGTTTTTTGTTTGTTTTTATTTTTTATTTAGAGAAAGAGAGAGGATGAGCTGGGGAGTGGGGCAGAGGGACAGAGAGAATCTTAAGTGCAGGGCTCAATCCCATAACCCTGCGATCATGACCTGAGCTGAAATCAAGAGTTGGATATTCAATCGACTGAGCCCCAGGTACCCCTAAAATTAAAAGTGTTGTAATGAGTATTCATGGATGATGGAAATTTAATCATTAGCAAGAGATATAATCATCTTCTCCTAAAAAGAATCTATATGTCATTCCAAGTGGAAGTTTATGTCCATATGACAATAATCGGTTATAAAAACAAAGGAAGACTAAAATATTCAAATAAAAATATACTCATTTTATAATTGCTGCCGAATGATGATCTATTCAAGTTTTCACTTTTTCCTACCTACTTCTGAGAAAAAGTAGAGCTCGGGAAGGAGAATGCAAGGGTCCACACTCACCTTGGCATAGATACAGCTTTCATTGAGTCTCTGCAGTGAGCAGTTCTTGTCACAGAGAGGGCACATGAAGACTTCAGTGGCCTTGCAAATTTCTTGGCTTGGGAAACCAAAGAAGAGAGAGAAAGCATGAACCTCCATGTTTAAGAAGGTGCTTAGCTCCTCTGGCTAGTCCTGTGGGAAGCAGCAAGGCAGAGAGGAAAAGAAGACACGGATAGTGGGAGTGGTGGACAGGTAAGCAAGAACTTAGAGTGGTTCCAACTCAAATTTTTAGGATATTTGTGATACGGACATTTTTGTTGACTTCTTCAGTTTTAGAAGTCTCTGCCTGGATACGGTAATGATAGTAGGCCATATTTGACACTTGTGAGACACTTGTGGGCTTTGTTACAAAGATAGTTACACATGATTTCATGGCACTGAGGGTAATCTTGTAAGGAACACCCAAGTGACTTTCAGCCAAGCTCACAGCTTGGAAGTGCCTGAGCTGAAATCAAATCTTTCTCCTGCATCTCACGCCTTAGAATCACCAAGATGAACAGCACCCATAATTCACACAAATCCACACAAATTCATAACTCGCCCTCCAGCCAACAGGGGCATCACATTCAGTAGAAATTTGAGGGAGTTGACTTTTTTTTTTTTTTGTGGTGTCTTGACACACAGTCATGATGACATGACATAGTCTTTATTTACTGAAACCTATTATATTTTCTATTAGAATATAACTTGATAATACTTGTCTCTTCAGTTTTATGCCCACTAACTTTTAAAGATCTCATCATACATTTTAGATGACTTGTGATAGGAGTAGGGCACCAGTAACAATTTCTCAAAAGCCTCTCAGCCTGAGTTCACAGCAACCTATTTTTAAAATGTTTTGTGCGTTTATCTGTCAGAAGTGGCCCTTTCCCACTTAGTAGCCTCTAAATAAATTGTCTTTAATTAAATCTGCCCTGGAAATGTTGAAGGTAATTTAAAGGCTTTTGACAGTAAGTCTGGAAATGCAACTGTTAATAAAGGTTTAATTGGCAGTGTTTACAGCACAATTTACTGTTTTCAAAAATACACCCTCAAATGAAGCAAAAAAACAATGTATTTCAAATGCTGGATTTATAAAATCTCACTCTAAAGTGGGAATAAATAGTAAGTAATAATACTATATAGTAATACAATGCTTTAAAGTGGGCAAAAGTGGGTTCATGTCCATTTAGTCTGGTCCTCACTGCAATCTCTGCAATGGTTAATTATCTCCACAACTGAGAGTAAACTGATGTTTAATTTAAGTAATTTGCTTGAGGTCATACAGCTAAAAAGAGGTACTTCAGGGAGCCTAATTTAGGTTTTTGTGATTCTAGGTCAAGTTCTCCATCAGCTACAACATATCTCAAAGAGAAATGTTTTTATTTCATATTAAAAGTGACTTTCCCGTGAAGGGGATTGAGTTCACTTCTGATGATGAGCACGGAGTAACTCACAAACTGTTGAATCATTATATTGTACACCTGAACCTAATATTACACTGTATGTTAACTGTAATTGAATAAAAAAAATCTGGCAAATAAAAAATAAAATAAATAATTTTCTTATAAAACTTTTATTAATGATGATGATAGTGTTATGGGTCTAAAAAATACTATAATTCTCCTACTTTCACACACACCATCTTGCTAGTAATTGGGATGTCTATATGAAGTAAAGCAGGTAAAACATACATATTAAAAGACCAAAAGAAAAAGATGATACCTCCTCTTAGTAATGCTACTAATTTGTAGGAACAAGAAGAATTAAAACAGTCCTTGAAGGAAATTTTGCTTACAATTTAAAATTCATTGTGTTTCAAGAATAACACAATGTGTCCTGCATTGAAATCCCATACTAAAAAGTATTAGAGGCAGTTTTTACCACGTCATATTTCCCATCTCCTAAATTGTCAAACAAAAGCACAAATCTATCAAAACACTGTGTCTAGAATCCCAAACCATCAGACTGAACACTATTTTGAATTCCAGAATTATTAAATTCATTTTTGGTAAGTTGTTCAATGTTTAACTCGGTATGTAACATAAAAAAAAATAAACAATTTTTGACAACATATATTTTAGCCTAAAATAAAGAATTTAATACTAGCACAAATTTCTTTGAGTTTAGTTAACCACTAGAGGGAGGGAGAGTGCACAGCATGAGTGTTTCTTCATATCTTCTGCGCAGCCTGATAACAGAAACCACCACTTGAATTGTCGCTTTCTTTTATTTGACATCTATTGTCAGACATACCACCAAGGGCTGATTTGAAGGAAATAATAATTACCACCAACTTAAGATAGCAGGAGAAGCTAGCAATTTGTCCTTTCGGGGGTGGATGTCTAGACCCGCTCCCGGGCCCTCCTGTGATCCTATAAAGATGACAAAGCACAGAAAAGGTGCTTGGTGATGTCCATTTTGAGGAAAGTGAAAATGTGAAAGTATGTTTAAGGGAAGGCAGTATGGAAGCATGAGCAAAACATGGATTTTAGAATTAGATATAATTACTGGGGAAAAGTAAACCAAATCACAAGATATTAGAATTACTATTACCAAACAGAATAAAACAAAACAAAGATAACACGTGTTGGCAAAGATGTGGAGGTTTTGGAACATTTGCACGTTGTTGGCAGGACTGTAGAATGGTGCAGCCACTATGGGAAACAATATGGAGGTTCCTCAAAAAATTAAATCTAGAACTACCATATAATCTAGCAATCCCACTTCTGGGTATATATCTAAAAGAACTGAAAGTAGGATCTAGAAGAGATATCTGCACTCCTGTGTTCATTACAGCATTATTCACAATAGCCAAGATACGAAAATAACCCAAGTGTCCACTGATGAATGGATAAAGAAAATGTGGTATAAACACAAAATAGAATATTATTCAGCCTTAAAAAAAAAGAAGGAAATTCCACATATGCAGCAACATGAATGATGAACCTGGAAGACATTGTGCTAAGTGAAATAAGCCATGCACAGGATAAATACTCCATGACTTCACATATTTTAAGTATTTAAAACAGTCAAACTGAGAGAAACAAAACAGAATCATAGTCGCCAGAGGGGAGGAGAGGAGGAAGTGGGAAGTTGCTCTTCAACAGATATAGAGTTCCAGTTATAGAAGATGAATAAGTTCCAGAGATCTGCTGTACAACATTGTGCCTAGAGTTAATAATACTGTAATGCTCACCTAAAATTTCGTCAACAGGGTAAATCTAATGTTAAGTGGTCTTACCACAATTAAAAAGAATCCAGTAAAGGTTTAAAACTTAGCTGACCACATACTATATACATTCTCCTGACCGAGTCACTTACCTCTCTGTGGTTCTATTTATTCATCTCTAGATGAAGATAATATCTAGCTGGGATATTACATAAGGGATATTGATACTGTGCCCGGCATATCGTAGGCACTAGATAAATAGAAACTTCATTGCTAAGGATGTTGTCAGGAGAGGGTTCAAGAGGTCCTGTATTACCCAACTGTTTTTGAAAGGCTGGTCTAATACTGAAAACCACATCAATTTCTTGGCAAGTTCTAATACCAAAGAGGAAAGAAGGGACCAGAAAGTTGGGGCTTCTGCTCTTTGTTCTGGACCTGAAAAACTATTTTATCTGCCTGCTTGTTCATTTTTACATCCCTATGATATGTACTCTGCCAGCAAAAATCTGACCACATTTGGTTAGGTAAGGCCAATGAACACATATAAATAGACACATGTACATATATATACAATAAATAATCCACAAATTGATTGCTACATAATTCTACAATGAGCTACAGAACAGGTAATATGACCTTAATTTATATAAATATGGACAGTAGAAACACAATAAATCCAACCCAATCTTCAGCTTCTTAACATTTTGTTACCTTGTAACAAAAAATAGTTTCATAAAATAATACTAAGACAATGCAACACCAAATAAAAGCCCCGTGCCCTCTCCTGACCTGCCATAACACCTACGACTGAACGATGTCTGACACCTTGAATAGAAAATTTCAGTCCCATGAAGTTTTGAAAGTCAAGATATTCAGTGATGCTTATCTTGGTTTAGAATAGAAAGTCTGACAAGATGTTAATTATAGTGTGACAGAGTAGCAGTAATAGAATACCATAAAGCGCTGAAGAAAAGAGTTTGCTAATGCCTTTTAAAGCACTCCGTGTTCTAAAGGTACTTATATACAAGAAGTCTAATTTACTCTGTTGGTACATAAATCAATAGCAAGAGCAAATCTATTCCTTTCATTGTTTTGCTCATTTTCAGCTTTGCAGGGGTAGAGGACAGAGTCTACAACACATGGTAAAAATTTGCGAATATATTCTCCATAGAACCAATCTGAACAATAGCTAACCATCTGAGAATCATTTTGTGTCTTCATCCATTCATATTAAAAGAGTAGTTTTCTAAAACCCTGAGAACTCTACCAAAAAAAAACCTGTTAGAACTAATAAATGAATTCAATAAAGTTGCAGAATACAAAATCAATATACACTTATCAGTTGCATTTCTATACGCTAGCAATAAACTATCAAAAAGAGAAATTAAGAAAATAATCCCATTTACAATTGCACCAAAAAGAATAAAATAATTAGGGTTAAATTTAACTAAGGAGGTGAGAGATCTACACACTGAAAACTAAGATGTTGATGAAAGAAATTGAAAAAGAAACAAATAAATAGAAAGATATTTTGTGCTCATGAATTGGAAGAATTAATATTGTGGAAATGTCCATACTACACAAAGACTTCTACAGATTCAATGCAATCTCTATGAAAGTTCAATGGTATTTTCACAGAAATAGAAAAAGCAATCCTAAAATATGTATGGAACATGAAAAACCTCAAGTAGGCAAAGCAATCTTGAGAAAGAAGGACAAAATGGAAAACATGATATCCCTGGTTTCAAATAATATTAATTTTAAAGCTATAGTAATAAAAACTTATGGTATTGGAATAAAAACAGACACATAGATCAATGGAACAGAATACAGAACCCAGAAATAAACCCATGTATATGTGGGCACTTTTCAACAAAGGGGCCAAAATATATAATGGAAAAAGCATAGTTTCGTTGATAGATGGTGTTGGAAAAACTGGATATTCACATACAAAAGAATGAAACTGAACCCCTATCTTACACCATATGTAAAAATTAACCAACAAAACAAACATGCAATCTACAGAATGGGAGAAAATATTTACAAAACATATATTTGATGAGGGGTTAATATCCAAAGTATATAAAGAACTCATACAATTCAATGCAAACAAAAAATCTGATTTAAAAAATGGGCAGAGAAACTGAATAGACATTATTTTTTCAAAGAAGATATACAAATCAACAGATACATGAAAAGGTGAATCAATATCATTAATCATCAGGGTAATGCAAATCAAAGCCACAATGAGGTATCACCTCACACCTGTTAGGATTCCTATAATCAAAACATTGCTGATGGGAATGTAAGTTAGTGCAGCCACTATGGAAAACAATATGGAGGTTCCTCAAAATATTAAAAATAGAACTCCCATATGATCCAGGAATCCCACTTTTAAATATCTACATATCTTCAAAGGAAATGAAAATAGGATCTTGAAGAAATATTTGCATTCCTATGTGCATTGCAGCATTACTTACAATAGCCAAGATATGTAAACAACCCAAGTGCTCATCAGTAGATGAATGGACAAAGGAGATGTGGTATAGTATATAATGGAATATTCAGCCATGAGAAAAAAGGAAATGTTGCCAATTGTGACAACATGGATGGAGCTTGAGTGCATTATACCAAGTGAGATAAGCCAGAGGGGAAAAAAAATACTGCATGGTATCACTTTATATGTGAACCTTTAAAAAAGCCAAATTCATAGAAACAGAGAATAGAAAAGTAGCAAAAAAAAAAGTTTTTCTTTTCAAGACACTATAACTTCGGTACACAACCTGTTTTCTTAGGCTCAGAGGATACTGATTCAACAGCATATAGAGATATGCCCACATAGGGATGGATGTTCCCACTGGGCACAAATTTGCTCTGGAAGATGCTGCCTTCCATACTTGTAGTGAGTTTGCAAATCTCTGAAATAAACATATGACCAGATGAACTGTTTTTTGAATAGTAAGTGTTTCTTAGTGTTCAAACTAATTAATAGTTGGCCTTCATGGAGAACAAGGGGACACTGAGAAACCAAATCAAGGAAGTTGGTAATGGAACTGGATTTAACTCTAGGACAGAGAAAGTAGTAAAACCTGGGATTCTGAGTAACTTCTTCTGTGAGTGTTCTGCAAGACGAGCAAACATTTCTAATAAATTTTAACTTGATAAACAAGCGATATCTTGGAATACAAATAGTATGTGATGCCAAATATCACATGATCACAATTAAGGTGATGATTCTTGAAAATTCGCTTTGATATATGAGTGCTTTGGATTATAAGCATGTTTCCTGAACGAATTATGCTTGCAAACCAAGGTTTTACTGTATTTTGTTTTTAGGCAAATTGTTATACATATACATATGCAAATTATATATATATATATATATATATATATATATATATATATATATTTAGAGAAAATTCAAGGAAATGAATTTTTATGATCCCATTAACTGTCATGATTACTACCCAGTAGCGAGGCCATGGTTAAAAGATGGACCAAAGGAGAAAAAAATGAGTTTCATATTTTGAATTGTATCATACAAGCCTGAACTTGATGATATCCTTGTATATATTAAATAGAAGATGCTGCTAAGAGGATTCTTTAATGCTGGGGTGAGTCTTATCTCTGCTGAATAATAATGTATTGTGCCTTTACCCAAATCTTGAGTATTTCAACTTTAACAGAAAATCACCATTTTGATAACTGCTTGATTTTTGTGAAACCTTATTTTACTACTGTCTTGATACCTTAAGCTGGTACTAAAAAAAAATGTTCTTATAGAGAAGAAGAAGAAAATACAAACTGATTTTATGTTCTCAGGAGAGAGGATTACTTAGAGCTGGAATCATGTGCTACAGATACTTATGTATTTGTTTATTCTCTAACTATATAAGGTTCCCTCAGCTGCAAAAAGGAATACTCACTTCTAAGGGTGGTAGTGAAGCTCATATCAAAAGAAAAAAAAAAACATTAACAGGAGGCTCTTTGTATATTGTAAGTGTTTAAAGAATTGTAGCTATTCTAATTATTTGAACTACTGTACTGAGAGGGCTTTCTAGACTAGCAAATACTATGAAAATGTAAATTACATAAGACTCTCATTGCATTGTTGAATTATTATGTGGGATGTACTGGCAAGAGAAATTTTGCATAAAGAGAAACAGTCTTAGAACTTACCCAATAGAATTTGCATATAAAAATATGGAATAGCCTTTTAAAAATAGTGCTTTTCCCCTCCCCTCAAAAAAAAAAAAAAACAGCAAATTAATTGTAGCACCATTACTTGTTTTTTATAGTCAGCATTATCGTAAAGATTTTGCCCAGTCAGAATAAAGGCCAACACATTTTAATAAGTCTGTTAATAGCTTACCTTACTTGACTTGCATTCATTGTAAATATCCCATAGAAAAAAACACACAAGCCAACAAGTGCTGCAGGAATCAGCATTCCAGTATACCATCCCAGCCAAGCAAAGTACAGCCCAATCTTCTCACCAAAGTATAGCCTGCACAAGAAAGCCAACTCTTAGCTTAAGGTAACGTAAGCAACACTACAAATGTTGCTGTCACACCTGGTCAGAATTTGGTGGATATAACAGCTCAGTTCCTGCTCAGTTCCATGTAGCGTATCTTAATATTCCCACTTGCTAATGAATCCAATGATGGTGATGCTGTTTATCTTCAAACATTAGAAGGAGCAATTTTATAAAATGTATTCTTTCTGTGTCGAATTTCTTAATATAGCCCAACTCTTGCCTTTCTCCATTCTCCTAGTAGAATCTCTTTGTTTTCCATGCACAGAACTGTACTAAACCAAACTACTTTTGTGTGAATTAGGGAAAGAAGTCTCCCCTATAGGTAGATGCTGAGAGTAGATTCCAGTTCAGTCTCCATCTGCACCCTTGGCCAGACTCCCTTCTGCTAGACACAATCTGCACAATTATGTTACACTTTCCACAACAAAGTTAACTTTGTGGTTCCTGGGGCACATGATTCTTTCCTTGGTTAATTCTGTTCCCTGACTTTGGAATATTACATTTGACTCTCTTACCTTGTCTGGCCTGTATGCATCCTTCAGTTTGTATCACTTCTTACAAGAAGCTTTTCCTGACTTACACTACAACCCTGGGTAAGATAGCCCTGATTTTGCTCGTATACTGCCCTTATTGACATTCCAGTGTCCTAAATTTACAACACTTTAAGACAATTAATTATCTGTCACTCTTCACTTCCTCTCCCTTCCCATAAGACTGCAAGTGCCTAGAAGTGGACCTGTGTCTTGTTTCACTAACTCCCACCACAGGGAGTATTGAATGAAGCTAAGGAAATGAATGTGTTTTATTTTCCTTGAGCTGACGAGCATAGTTTATATGGAAATGGCAGATGGATAGGACAATTCTAATGACTACCCAATTCTCTCTTTTCACAAAGTCTTCTGACAATACCAACTGCTACACAGTTTCTAAAGCTCTGATAAGAAATAATAGTTTCCTGCATTCTCTACTACTACTTGGTCTCTATCTTCTAAAAATGGCTACGTAACACAATTTTGTCCCAGCAATAGTTTTAACAATTGGTGTTTTACTATTCATTTAGGAATACTGCAATTGGGCAGAGATTCTTGTTGGGAAGAAGTTTTTCTTGTTATTTTTCCCTTCACAAGGCTTCTCTTTCTGAAAATTATTATTTTTTCTCTGTATTATGTCAATTAAAATTTTGTATATTCTACCAGGTGTAGAAATGGAGTCATCTTCCATGAAGGATCATTTATCTAAGTTTTTGTTTTTACATTGATTTCTCCTGGGAGACATAGATCAGTGGTCCATTCACTTCTCATACAACGATAATGTTCTACTTCAGAGGAAAGCTTATATTAACAGGTATTTCAAACAAGCCATTTATTCCTTTTAACAAGTGTTCCTCTGTGAGGGGAGTAGGTTTTTAGCACATATTACTAACATAATGGAATGCCTTTACAATAACAACCATAGAGCATTGCACAGACAACCCTCCCTTATACAGACAGAATTCTACTGAGATTTTCGATTACACATTGTTGAAGTCCAGAGGGGCAACAATATTATTTGACAGTAGTTTAATCACATAGGTTACAGCAGATTTTAGATCTGGTTCAGGAGAGGGAGAAGCTATTTCCAGGCAGAGAAAGCTGATGAAAACCCCCTTGACTTCGAGTACTGGTATTCACAATCTTCTAGGATCTCTAGAGATATCTCAAAAACCATGGGAAGGCAAGGAGGAATAGGGGGTGGCTATTGGCCACTGTATCTGCACTGCACAGTGTATCTGCACTACACTTTACCCATAGTCACTCTCTTTTGATCTGATTTGTATTTTGGTAACAAGCAGGTTCCTAGAGAGGAGGAATGCGTTGAAATGCTATCTATACTCTTTTATGGCCTTCAGCTTGGGCGGTTCCTTCATCTCCTCTCTCTCTCTTCAGCCACGTACAAACAAAATATATGATTTTCATAAGCAAAAATTTCCTTCAATGACAATATCCAAATAGTCGGTAATAGTAGCCAAATAACTCTATTTATCCCTTGTTGAAATGACCTGAAGCAGCAATGGCAATGTGTCCAGCAAATAAGAGAATTATTGACACTGAAATGTTTGCTTGAAAATACCAACTTTGTTTTAGTACCTAGTAAATACGGTTCTGCGAACCAGCACATCTCACTGTGTTCACGTATCCCTAAAATAACAATTCGCTCCCCTACGTAAATCAGAATCTGATAATTTGTTATGATCGAAAGAATTATAATAAAAACATCTCGATTTGGGATATGCCCAAGTTTGAAATATGTTTGAAATAAAAATGGTTTGGTGCTGGATATTATGATCCGTACATCCAGATCTTTGTGCTAAGCTTTTCTTTTCTGCTCTGTGCCCCAGGAGGCTCACCTTCATGGACTGTATCACTTATGCTCATCCCTTCCTCTGGCTTCCTGATGGACTTGTTGGCCAACTGAAGGTATCACCAGCAGAAGATCCCAGGGTGTGATCAAAGAGATATTGATGTATTGCTGACTTTCTCCCTCCTGGTGCATGGTCTGGCCGGAGCTGCTTTCTTCCTAAGACTATAGCTTCTGTCAGGCATCCCCCTCTTCTGTTTTTACCCAATCTTATCAACTCTTCCTTCCCCTTGTTCCTCCAGGCCTAGGATTGATGACAACATCCAACTTTTGCTAGTCTCTGGAAGCTTCGTCATCATCATGTTTGCTCCCTTGATACTATTTACACTTCTGTATATAGTTCTTTTATTAAATTTTCTTCAGATACTCCTTCTATTCTATCAGTTCTATCAGTTTTCTTCTGGGAACAGTTATGAGTTATTCTTGATATTTATATTTCATAAAGAATTCAAAATATTAACATATATAAACTTATGAATGCTTTTTTCTTTCATTATAAGAATATTTATAGTTAGCTAGAAACTTAAGTCCTTTTTAATATATATTTTCTTGATTTTTTTTTAAAAGAACATATTATCCCCCACAAAAATTAAATAAATCATGAATGTGAGAATATTTGGAGACTAATTCAAGTTGAGAGCAGTTACTTACTAGAAATATACTTCCTGGAATAGAATAGATACACACAAAATCTTTGTTGAAAGACAAGTATATGCATAGATGCCATGTTGGTCATTTTCCTCTTTGTTCTCAGATCCATTTTCTGCCTTTCCCTGTTTTGGTTTGTTCTCACAGGGAAGTCAATTACACAGGTTCCATTGGAAACAGCTCCTGGTTAAGCTGGGCCAGGAGTCAAAGGTGGAAGGAAGAGGGAAACAAGATCTTTCCTTCTTTCTTGGCCATCCTCCAGCATAGCCATGCCTTCTCCATGGTTCCACTTCCAACACTCAGTTTTCTGCACACAGTCCTAGTCATGGTTGGTATAGCTCCTGCCCAAGGGCCCAAGGAGTGGGCTCTGAATATACTCTATCCCATTTTCCCTCCAGCCTTAAGGTTGTTAGCAATTTTTTGCTGTTGTCTCAGTATTCCTGCCTGATTTCCCAGCTTTCCTATCCCCTGTATAACCAAATCCCTAAGTTAAGTTTCCTTTATTGAAAGACCTATAGTGGCTTCTTTTTCCTAACTGCATCCTGAATGATATAGATGATTTGGTGGCTAAATGAAATAATTCCAAATCTATGAAAATGACAACAAAACAACATAATAGAGCATCTAATATTGATCCATCCACATTACCTGATTAAATCCAAGGGCTGATGCTTATACCACATTCCCCAGCGTGCCCAGCGCTCATATAATAGATGCCTATTATTCTGAGGTCCATGCGTTTTGATGGGTTGGCTACTCTTGTAGGCTCCCTGAAACACATAAGATAAATTGATACACATTCTCTTAGTATATGTGAACTAAATCGGAACTGCTTTTACTATTTTTTTCCCTACAGAACAATTTAACAGCTTATTGAAAGCTGCAGAAATTTTAAACTTAAGCCCATCACTGGAATAATGTAGTAATGCCTTTATATATTTCTCTTTCATTGAAAATATTCTGACAGTCCCTTAAAAATCCTTTCTTAAAGTCCCTTTTTAAACCAATGAGGTTCCTTTCATTTAAAATAAAGAATTTAGGTTTTACTGTTTGTAACCTCAGGCCTTTTAATAAACACTATACCCTCACCATCATTGAGAGAAATTGTTGTAATCTTTACTTCAGAAATTAAGAGTATTATTCTGCTTTAAGAAGCAATTCAGTCCCAGAAAATACTGATTTCATTTACAGAGGCTAAGAAGGCAAATGTTCAATCAAAAAGTGTAAGAAGTCTACGTCACAATTGCTATTCAAGGTTTTAAATTCTAGAATACTTAAAACTTAATTTAGATAAGCTATTCCAAAAATGGACACATTTTCAGGTTCTTTATATCTCCCCTCAAAAACTACTGCATGGGTTACAATTTCAGACACAGAGAATATATATGCCTTATAGAGGACAGTGTTTCCTGAAGGCTGAACTGCTTTACACTTATAATAAAAAAGGAGGGCAATAGATATGGCAACTCTATTTTCTAAACCAAAACTTAGGACACAGGATTTGACAAACTCCCTCTCATTCCACTGTGTGATTCTACTTTTATAAGCAGTTTAACCAAATTTTAAAACAAGTGGAGTTATGCCTTAGCTACTTCATGTAGATGATGAGAATAAGAATAAATATTAATGATTTCTACCACAGAGGAGCTTTGTGAGGGTCCCTTGGATAATCACTATAAAGTGCTATGCATGCACATATGAAGTAGAAAATCAATTTTAGTTAATTTACAGAGTTTGATATATTGTGGCCATTGAAAAGTAGAAAACTATCATCTGAGTGATCCCAGACAACCAGGGGTGTGAGTTCCTACAAAGAGAGAGGACACCTTGAATCATGGTCTGCAAATGCCTCAAGACTGAAATGAGAAACACATGTGGATTTTACCTCTGGTCTTCTAATGAAATGGATAAATTGATTAGGTAAAGATGGGAGTACAGGTAAGTGCTGAGGGGCTTCAGGATGGGCGACTGCAGAATGTGCTACTCTGGCATGTAGATGATTTCTTTTTTTTTTTTTAATTTAATTTAATTTTGAGAGACAGAGAGAGAGAGAGAGAGAGAGAGAGAGAGAGAGAGAGAGGGTGTGCTTGCACAAGCGGGCACATGAATGGGTACACAAATGCGGTAGGGACAGAACGCGAGGGAGACAGAAGATCCAAAGCAGGATCCGTGCTGACTGAAGAAAGCCTGACTCAGGGCTCAAACTCACAATTCGTGAGATCATGACCTGAGCCAAAGTCCACCGCTTAACTGACTGAGCTACCCAGGTGCCTCAGCATGTAGATTATTTCTAAGCTGAAGATAACTAGGGCCAATAGACTCAAGAAGAATTTTTTACCTACCCCTTAACTTCTTAAAATAATTTAGATAGGAAGGCTATGAGAGGAAGAGAGGTATTACCAAAGATAACTTTTTTTACATAAGAAATACTTATATGCAAGACATGGCAAGCACTGGCTCATCCAATATTCATCCTCTCATCGTCCTGTGAATTGTCTCCCTTCCCTGTCCCTTCCCTTCACAAGTCCCAGATGCCTGCCCTCTTCTTCTTAGCTCAGGATAGCATATAAACCTCAATTGCCTGACTGCTGGAGAGCCTCTCGTGTCTTTGTGGGGATCCTATACATGCATAAGTAAATTTGCTTTTCTCCTATTAACCTGCTTTATGTCAACTTAATTATTAGGCTAGCCCAAGAACCCCAAATGGAAGAAGAGAAAAGTTTTCCTCCTGTGGTGCAGTTCAAGTTTCCTTCCCTAAGAGAGCCCAAGGTTTTTAAAGGCTAAAGATCAGAATCTAAGAAGATGAAAGTGAAGGTCAAGATTTCAAGCATGGGGGAGGTCCACTTGGGAAAGATTTGTTTGCTTGTGCAGTTGGACTGGCTTGTTAAGGTAGACTGCTTTCAGATCAGGTAAGTAAGGGAAGGTGAACCAAAATCTCAGCTTTCTTTCAGTCATTCATGATCATCTTTTTAAAGTACCTGATTTCCTTACCAGTGGTCACCTTCTCAGTGGTCAGACATAGGTACTTCCTGGGTTTTAGGGCTAAGCTTAGAATCCCTAGTACATCATTGTTTTAATTCTGCTCAAGAACCTCAACCATACTGTTCTGGATTGACAGTGACACCAGGTAGCTGTAAGAGAAAACTGACTGCAATGATGACCCCTGCTGGTCCATGTATTTCCATCTCTTTTCAGAGAACCATGTGCACTCAGTGACCACTTCCCCTACCTCTTCATAATAATCCCTTCCTCCAACCAACACACAACGAGTGGGAAAATGACTGTTATTTACAATCGATTCCTAATAGTTTCCAAATTTCATACAAGAAAGTGTCAAACTGTTAGAACACAGACTAGTTATATAGATGAAATTACTTACACAGAGAACAAACAAAACCTTCTTTTGCTATGAAGCTCTCCCAGGGCCTTAGGTTTGCTACACTGAACACTTCACCCCTTACAGACTACGTCAAATCTGACATGGTGTTTAATTTCTTTGAGCCTTGTTTCTGTATCTCTAAAATGAGAAAATAATAATATATACCCCCCCAAGATTACTGTCAGAGTAACAAGAAAATAGGTGCACAGGGCCTGTCTCATGAAACAAGCTAACATATTACCTGTTATTATTCTTTTTCCTACTGTGAGTAGGCATACCACAATGAATACAAGCACTGGAGTCTGGCTTCTTGGTCTTAAGTCTGTGCCTTTAATAGCTTGTCTGTGCCTTTAATAGCTTTTCTGTGGCTCAATGATCTAGCTTAAAAAAATGGAGTTATTATTATTGTCTATCTCAGAAGGTTAGTCTATGGATTACATAAGATAATCCATATAAAACACTGAGCTCAGTGCCAAATAGGAAGTGCTCAATGCTTTTTATCCCTTATGCGTTTTACTAGACTATGAATTCCTCAGATATAGAGATTACATCCTGTGAATCCTCAGCCTTTATAAATAGAAAGGATGGGTCTTGAGATTGCAGACATTATACCTCTAAAGACCCTGTTCTTATTTCAAAATGCAAAATTGCCTTAAAAATAGTGTGTGTGTGTGTATGTGTGTGTGTGTGTGCGTGTTGGGAGAGGATGTTCAAAACTGATTCAAATGTCGTTCATGACTCAGCAGTAGAATTCACCACGGCTTGGAGCAGGCATTTCTACTTAAAATTAGTAAACAGGTAATTACCTGGCAGAGAATCGCATAAATAATGGGGTGCAGGTTTTTGTTGTTGGGTTTGTCTTAGGCACAAACCAGAACTTGCCCTGTTTGGGAGTGGTACGGATCCCAAGCTGGGTCAAGCATGGAACTCTGTGTTGGAACAGAGGAAGGAGGTCAGAGTGGTTGAACAATGTTCCTGAGTTCTCTCTGGGGCCGCGACTCCTAATATGGGACAAATTGCACAAAGGTGCTGGAGCACAGGGGCCAGTGTGCAGCCAGAGATCATAATGGGGACTCAGAAAGGCCCAGGGCCACTTGCTGACTGAATCCTCTTACAAGACGGCAGCCAGACTTAAAAAAAAAAATCAGCATTTTGATCATGAGAAACTTTTTAAATTGAAATTGTATTTCAAAATTACCTCATGTGGAGGAAAAGCTGCTATATATGAGCCATTATTTATAAGTTTACAGATACCTGGAAAGAGAAGAAAAAAAACAGTTTTTGAGTCTGTTGAAAGAAGACTTTCCTCTGGGGAAACACACATATACTTGGGACAACAAAGTAACTTAACAACTTAAAGCAACCCAAACAACATCCATAGCCACGTCCCCTCTGAGGGCAGTGGGGTTGTGAAAGACTGATACTAAAGAATCTATTTGTGTCCTGACAACATTCAGCAAGGAGATTTCTAAGGTACTAACATATGGCACTTTGCCAGATCACGAAATAGGAGGCATTTTAATACCATTTGGGATCACATGAAACTGGAGCAGGGTTTTTTTCTGCCTTAAAACAACAACAACATTTGGTCAAAAAAGCCAAGGAGGTCTCCTCTCAAAAAAGAAAACAAGTGGGGCGCCTGGGTGGCGCAGTCGGTTAAGCGTCCGACTTCAGCCAGGTCACGATCT